CTTTTGATAGGTCTAATTGTAGTCCACGTGTAGAACCAGAGATAACCACGTGTAGAACCAAAGATGTTGCGAACGTCTTTGGAAATACAACCTTCTGCCTTTGCTAAGAGGAACATAACTCTTCAAGTTTTATTGGCTTCCTTAAAATATTTAGAGTCCAGGCCCCAGACGCTGACGGTATTCCAAAAAGATGAATTAGGTCCACAGCCTGAAGCCTGGCTAGCACTTTGCCCACTGGTAATCCTCAAATTAGAGAAACACTGTCTTTTAAATACCTCCTACTGATTCTTCCAGATTCTTTGTTTTGTTTTGTTTTGTTTTTGGCAGAACCAGGGATTGAACTCAGGCCCTTGCGCTTGCCAGGGTAGTGCTTGTTCCTCTGAGCCATCTCCCCAGCCCCAGAATGAGTTTTATGTAGCCTTCAGGAAAATTTATAAGCTTCCTATATAAAGAATGACTTTGTGTTTTGGAATGATTATCATTCTAAGATTTAGTAGAAGATATGGGCTTGTTGATTCCAACAGACATATACTGAAGGGATGAAGTATTTTCTGTCTATACCAGAAGCTCACTCTTGGTGCTGTCGCTTAGTTCTGAGAAGAGCTAAAGATGGTCTGTAGCTATCAGAACGCTTAGCGGGGCTGGAAAGAGTTTTCCTCTGCAGCTCTGATGGAACGCTGCTTCTTTCCTCTCATTAATGTTGTATGGACTGTGGAGTCGCGTTGACCTCTATCCTAGCACGCTCTGATGCTGAGCTGATGATAAGAGGCTTGTGAACCTGAAATTGGAGGCTGACTTTATGGGACATTGATAGAACAGAGAGGGTGTGGCAGGAACCTGCATCATCTCTCTGGGGAAATATTCCCAAGAGGTTTGGACGGGCTGTAGTACAAGCATATGGTCCCTGCCTAGGGATGTCGTGTACTGTGTGAGGGATCCTAGACACGGAGCTGCTGACTAATAACTAGAAAAGTGAGAAGGCCCCATGGGAGTGACTCCCAAAGGTCTCTCAAAGAGCTTCCCCCAGCTGACCTTTTTATGAAACTAGAAATGACTATTT